CGGCCGGGACTGCCAGGGACCTTGAGAGGTCACCGCTTGCCTTTCCGCCTTTCCCCTCCCCTCCAATTCCCTTTCCTCAGCCCCCACTCCGTTTCCCCATCCTTGAAACCCGAACGCCGGTGGCAGTGGGAGACGTGGAGGGGGCTACGGACGCCGAGAGGGACCTAACAGAGCCTCCCCCACCCACCCCGCGCTTGCACCCGCACACACACATTCTGAGATCCATCAGGTGGAGCCGGCCCTCCCCAGGCCTCTAGGTGCAGCTGTAAGTTGGTGGGGGCGCCCTGGGTGGGGCAGCTGAAGAAGCTGTGTTTTGGGAAGACTTCCTGGGGTCGGGGTCAGGGTCGGCAACAGCCCTAGGACAGGCAGCCTGCTTTTTTCACCCCTTCCAGGTACAGGTGTTGAGTAGGTTTACTTCAGCGGTTACAGGCAGCGTCCAGCAGGCCAGGCATGTGCTGGAGACAGCTGCCCCATCCAGGGTGGGGCAGGGGAACAGGCCATCCACCTGCAGGGATGCACTGGACCAGGAAGCAAAGCCAGATGTGCAGGGAGGAGGGTTGACTGGGAGGACATCATCGTGCCTCGTGCCTCATTTTCCAGGAGTTGAAAGTGGAGGACCTTTCTTGGACTTACAGGGCTTCCCAGAGCCAAAAGGGTAGGGTGTGGTTTTAAATGGCCATAGGCCGTGCCAAACTCACACCTCAAAGGGCAGTGGTGGAATTCTGAGCCCAAACCCCAGTCATCTTTGAATCCTGAAGAAGGCCTGCTTTCCTCCAAGGCCCCCACGTGGTGGATGCTGCCCCATCACTAGGAAGCAGTGTCCTGAGGGCAGGTCCATGCAAGTCTTAGTGGACAGTGTGATGATGCTGGGCCTGGCCCTCCTTCAGCCTCACCCTGACCAGTCTCCCCATTCCCAGTCCCATAGCCCTGTGGACTACAGCTCAGGGATCACAGATCCTGCTGCCCACTGAGGGAGCTTGTGTCAGGCCAGCTGTTAGCCACATGACCTTGGGCAAGGCACCTCACCTGTGGGGAGTCCCAGTTCTCTCTCTTCGTTCTGTGTGAGGCTTGGACTTGTGCACTTTGGACATGTCAGCAGGAAGGTCAGTCGCTGAGGACATCAGGCTTGGGGAACTCAGAGGGTCATCACCGAAGACGAAGACCCTCCACACAGGAGGCTGCCACAGTGGACTCAGACAGCAAGGGCCTGAGGGGGAGCAGGACCAGGCAGCACTTCGTTCTGTTGTACATGAGGTCGCTATGAGTCAGAGCGACTCAGCTGCACCAGACGAGGAGCGCGAAGGTTTTGGGGAAGATCCCGAACAAACTGGGTCAGAGAGAGTGCTCGGAGACCCCCCAACTCAATGGTGGAGCCCCCGCAGTAGGAAGAGCAGAGCAGCCGGCTTTGATGTCTCACGCTGGGGGACAGGGGGCGCCCCAGGGCCCCTCAGTGACGCCTGCCCACCTGCAGGTGTTCTCCATCGCGGTCTTCGGGCCCATCGTCAACGAGGGCTACGTGAACACCGACAGTGGCCCCGAGCTGCGCTGCGTCTTCAACGGGAACGCGGGCGCCTGCCGCTTCGGCGTTGCGCTCGGCCTAGGCGCCTTCCTGGCCTGCGCCGCCTTCCTGCTGCTCGACGTGCGCTTCCAGCAGATCAGCAGCGTCCGCGACCGCCGCCGCGCAGTGCTGCTCGACCTGGGTTTCTCAGGTGGACCGGGGCTGGTGCGGGTGCAGGGTGGGGCTTTCCCAGAGGGAGGGCGGGGCCTAGCTAGGAGCATCCCCGGGGAGGGCGGGGCCTAGCGGGAGAGCTAGTGGACGGGATCAGAGGGGCAGAGCCCCTCTAGCCGCGGGGCACCCTGCAGAGGGCGGGCCCAGTAGGAGAGCCGGGGTGGGGGAACCAGAGGGCGGGGCCTAACCGTTGGACACCCCTCATCCCTCGAAGCCAAGTGGGTGATGGCAAGGAGGGCGTGGCTTGGTAACCCTAACTAGGCTTCCCTAGTGGGCGGGACCTATGGGAGGGGTGGGGCCTGGGTGAAGGGGTGGACCCAAAGGGAAGCAGCGTTAAAAGGCTGCTTTTAATGAACACCTGGCTTATGTTGGTCCGAGTGAGACCCTAAGAGGGGCGGAGCCACAGACACTGAGTGGGCGGGGCCGTGCCTGCGCACCCGGCGCTGAGCTGCGCTGTCCCGCGGGCTTCAGGGCTCTGGTCTTTCTTGTGGTTCGTGGGCTTCTGCTTCCTCACCAACCAGTGGCAGCGCACGGCGCCCGGGCCAGGCACAGCGCAGGCGGGGGACGCAGCCCGGGCCGCTATCACCTTCAGCTTCTTCTCCATCTTCAGCTGGGTGAGTGCGTGGCTGTGGATGGGGGACGGGCAGGGCGGGCTCTGGCGGCTCTGGTCCGCTGACCTGAGCTCCCCTGCAGGTGGCACTCACTGTGAAGGCCCTGCAGCGGTTCCGCCTGGGCACCGACATGTCCCTCTTTGCCACCGAGCAGCTGGGCGCCGGGGCGGGCCAGGCCTACCCAGGCTATCCGGTGGGCAGTGGTGTGGAGGGAACCGAGACCTACCAGAGCCCACCCTTCACCGAGACCCTGGACACCAGCCCCAAAGGGTACCAGGTACCTGCCTACTAGGGGCAAAGGCTGCCCACCAACGCAGGCCCAGCACCAGGGACCCAGGGCGGCCAGTGTGGGCCCACCTCGGCCAGGAGGAGGTGCCTTCAAAAGTCCTTGGACGGAAGGCCCTAAGGAGGTCACAGGCCCTGGTGTATAGCCTGCAGCCTCAAAGGGGCCAGATTGGGCCACTCCCCTCCTGGGCCGGCCAGCCTGGGGCCAGGAGGCCAGCTGTCCTCCATAGAAGGTGCAGGAGCCACTGGCATTAGGGGCAAGGATACAGCCCCAAACGCTGGTCATGGTCTCCTTGCTCCGGTAGTAGTGGTGTGTTGTGCAGGGCGGCGTGTCCTGTCCAGGGCCCCGTCCCCTTAGTTGTCCAGGCTCTCTAGAGCAGCCTCCTGCCCTGTCAGTGTTGTACTGTGACCCAGTCTTCAGGTTCTTCCCTTAGTTCCCCACAAGCTACCCCATCATCTGTGGTCTGTGCCCCAACCCCCATCTGCCTTGGTCCAGGCCCCTGCTGGGGTCTGGGCAGTTCTGACGACGCACAAGACACCAAACAGATGGCCTGTCCCAGTCCAAGGGAGGCTCAGGACCTATGGGTGCCTGGTAAGACCAGCCTCACCCATAAGAGAGGCCTAAAGGTTCCATCCACTCACTGTGCCCGTAGAGACAGCTGTCCCATGCAAAACCACTTTCCCTCGGCTTCCTGGACTGTGTCTCCTCCCACCCCCGCTCTGCACCCCAGTTCTGTGAGCCCAAGACTCTGTGAGTCCCCATGTGTAGCTGACTACTCATGCATTGTTTGAAGCTAGCTTTTCCTTCATGTTGATACCAAACCCGGTTGCCACCCTCCACCCCTGCAGAGAGAACGCCTCCTTCCAGGGCTGGCTGCCGATAATGCGACAGACCTATACATTATAGTTTAGACCAGTCATGCGTGGTTGTCTTCAGTAAACATGTTTACAACTTTTGTATATATTAGAACTTCTTCCTACTACTTCTGAAAGAACAATCCGTGATTGTGTATTTTCAGTGTCCTGTATCCTACCCACTCACTGCACCTTCTTTACAATAAAGACTGGAAATGAGTTTACCGTGTCCTGTACGCTCCTGGATTTGTTTCCGCCTCCACTCTCCTGGGGTCAGGGGTTGGGTAGGGCCTGAGAGCCAGAAGCTGGGGGTGGAGGCTGGGTGACCCCGAAGATCAGAAGAGCCAGGATGAAGCAGGTACATCCGGCCCCTGCTCCAGACATCACACTGATCCGCAGCTTCCCTGGCAAGCAGGGAAACCTTGGTGCTTCTGTTCGCAGTGTATGTTACCTTTCTGTAATCCATACTGAGCCCTCATGGCGCAGCGGGGGAGCGTGCATGCTGGGCTGCCTACGGTCAGCAGGTGGAGACCAGCAGGGGCTCCACGGGAGAAAGAGAGCTTTCTACTCCCATGAAGAGTTACAGCCACAAGCTCAGGGGGGCGGTTCTACCCGGTTCTGTAGGGTTGCAATGAGTTGGGATTGACTTGATGGCAGTGAGGTGTTTTTTTTACATTTTATAGGGGCGCTGTGAGTGGGCATGGACCGGAATGGCAGGGAGTTCTGTGCTTCGTTGCGGAGTGCTTCTCTCTGGACCAGCCTAGGGTACCTCTGGCCTCCATTGCTCGTCTTGTCTTCTTGGGATGTCCAGTTCATTGGGATCATGCCTTGTCCCGGCAGAGGATCACACTTAGACATGGGTTTGAATGCTGTGGAGAAAGTTGGTATTTGTTTTAGCTTGGTAAAGAGCCCTAGTGAAGTACCTGGCTACTAATCAAGAGGTCAGTGGTTCCTATCCACCAGCTGCTCTGTGGGAGGAGGAGCCAGGCCGCTTCTGTGAAGAGGACTGCTGACAGAGAAGGCACATCCATACTCTTAGGGGGCTGCTTGGAGTCAGCAAGGACTGGAAGGCAGTGGTGTTTTGGTTTTTTCTTAGTCCTGATCAGTATCAGGTCATATGCTACAGTTGGCAGAGGATGGGGGGGGTCAGTTACCAGTCTTTATGGTGCTATTGAGAGCACCTCAGAGCGACCCAGTAAGAAGGCATAGAACTGCTCCTGCGGGTTTCCAAGACGAAATCTTTACAGGAGTAGAAAGCCTACCTTTCTCCTGAGGAGCGGCTAGCTGGTGGTTCTGAACTGCTGATCTTGCAGTTAGCTGCCCTACCAGTCACCCACTATGCCAGGGTCACTATGAGTTAGAATTAATTGACTCCATGACAGCCAAGTCTGGGTTGCTTTTTTTTTTGGCTCAGAGAGGGATGGAACGTTGGTGGCATAGCACATAATGGGTTTGGCTACAACTGAAAGGTCGGTACTTCAAACCCTTCAGCTGTACCTCGGAAGAGAGGACAATCCTGGAAACCCTGGGAGTGGCAGTCCACCTGATGCAGTGGGGCTCAGCTGGAGTGAGCTGGCCTGCGCGGGCACCACCTTGTGGCCAGGCTGGGTATGTACCCAGGAATTCATCACTCACTCAGCCACATAGTCCACTTCAACTCAGATAGGGCAGGGTAGAACTGCCCCTGTGGATTCCTGGGACTGTTAACTTTTTCCTGAGTAGAAAGTCTCTTCCTCCTCCCCAGGAGCGACTGGTGGTTGAGAAGTGCAGGCCGTCTATTCTGATCATGTTAAAGATGCATGAGGGTTAGCATACAAATGCTTGAGGCTTACTCACTACCCCTCCAATCTTTCTTCAGTGCTAGGAATAGTCCAGTCTTAGCACCTCCCCAGCTCCTGGGGCTCCTAACAAGGGGACCTGCCCCAGCTTTAGTCGTCTCTATAGGTGCTTGCTACTACATCTGGGGAGATCTTCCCAGCATGGTCAGCGGGGCTTTTGAGCTCACCCATTGGGTGCTGCAGTCCACTTGAAGAAAGTGTATCTCCGTCGCTTGCTGGCTCAGGGAACAGGTCTTTTCCATTCACCTCCTGACTCGGTCTGAAGGCTGAACTCGACCACACTCAGGTCCACCCCCTATGGAGTGTCAGCAGCTCCAGTCACAAGGGTGGAGGTGGTGGCGGCATGACTTATCACTGGGGGAGCTCAACAGCACTTGGCACACCAAGTACTGCTAAGCCGGCATGTCTTCATCATGTCTTACTGCCCCTTTGAGAACAGGGACACCTGACAAACAGTCCTTTCATGGCTGGCTGTTCTCCCAGGGTGTGGTCTCATGTGTGCCCTCAGGAGTGTGGGTGGCCTCTCCCCAGCTGGCGGGGTGAAGGCTTTATCACTCGAGGAACGCTGCTCGCAGCTCTGGCCCAGGGCAGGCATGCTGGCCTAAGCGTCTCAGCTCTGGGTGGGCAGGCACTCCCAGTGCAATGTGGCTCCAGCGTGGCCCCTCCCAGCCATGACACCCTTGCTCCATTGGACACTGACTCCATGTCTCACAGCCCATGACTTGGACTTGGCTGTGTGTTTTCCCTAGTCCAAGGCTCTCTCTGGATGGTTTGGAAGGCCCATCCCCGAGAAGTAAGGCTTGGGCTTGGCTGCTTCCTGCTGTGCACTCTCCCCAGGACCCTCTCCCAGCCCCAAGCACCCAGTGGGCTATGGAGCCCAGTGGTTCCGTGGGGGCTGCTGAGGTGGCAGAGTAGTAAGGACACGGGCCGGCTCTGTGCCGTATTGAAAAATAAATTTATTTTTATAAGATAAATTGTCTTATAAAAGATCAGAGGCAATTTGAGAGCCCAGATTCAGCTTGTACGTAAAAAGATTCAATTTCAAGTAGCACAATTTTGCGTCTGCTTTTAATCCGGAACCTTCCTGAACCACGAAACTGCCAACTGTTTACACACACACTCATGGCACCTGGCCCCCATGGGCCTCTACCTCGGGAGGCCAAAGGTGCTGAAGCCCACTGCTCAAGAGGGCTCACTTCCCGGCCATGCCCTCCCTGAGGCCGGCCTGAGCCAGGTCTGTGCTCGCTCGCTGAGGAAGCCGGATGGCACTTCTGTGTGGCCACATGCTGGCAGGGCCAGGCCTCCCTGGGGCCTGGAAGGTGGCTTCATCTGGCTGCCTGGCAGCCTTGAGGGAGATAGGGAGGCGGGCAGAGGTCAACTAAATGCAGCTTCTGCCCGCGCTGGCAGCGGCTACGTGATGACCCTGGCAATGGCCTGCAGGGAGGGGAAGTCATCGTCTCGGGCAGCATGCAGGGCCTGGTGGCTTTGGACGTCATGGTGGGCCAGCACCTGCTGGCAGGTAGGGCACACGCAGCAGTCCAGGCCGGCCGTCTGTGTGCTGGCCTGCCACGGGCCTTTCCGACTCTTCTTGGCCTTTGTGCCGGGCAGTGGCTCGTGGCCTCGGAAGTCCGCGTGTGCCGACAGCAGCTCCTGCTGCTTGGCTGTGTCAGGCAGGAGCACCAGCAGCTCGTTGAAGATCTTCAGGAAGCTCTCGCCCAGCAGGTCGCGGCAGCTCTGGTAGTACTGGGCGGCGGAGGTCACACCCTATGGCACAGTACCGCCCAACCATCAAAACTGGCCAAGATACTGGCTCCCCACCGGCCCTCCCACTGTGTGCCCTACCCCTCACCTGTCGGAACTCCCCAGAATGACTCTTGAACTTTCGAAAACGGGCTTCGTCACTCTGAAGGAAGTCCCTGATGGACTGGATCAGTTTCAGATTCCTCTCCCGGAAGTTCTCAGGGACCAGGTAGGCCTGGGGTGGGACTGTCGGGTTGGGCCTGGGGCAGGGGTGGGGAAGTGAGTGGGCCTGCATGCTGTCCTCGGGAAGGGGCCTTGGCAGACAGCCCACCCACACTTACGCTTTCGTGCGGGTGCTGGGCACACAGGTCAGCTGTGGACTGGGCAGGAGTCCTGCAAAGCCGGGGGGTGGCTTGCTCATGGGGGTCACCAGCCCTGGTGGGGGTAGAGGTGACACTGGCTTCAGCAGCACTGCCGTGTTGAACCCTGCAAGGTGGCACAGCAAGCGACACTTGAGACAGGGCCCAGGGTGGCAGGTACCCGACCCCTTCCCCATGGTAGCCCTTAGGGTACCACAGGAAGGGGTGACAATGGAGAACGCAGTGGGTGGTCAGGTGGCACCCAGGGAGGTGGACAACCCTCACGGAGCCCCACTCCTCTTTCAACAAACGAACCTGGAGGAGGTGGCATCCTGGGTGGGCCTGGGCCACCAAGGGCAGGGAAATCTTCCTGGGGTATGAGGCAGGGCGGGGGTCCTGGGGGTCTCTGGAGCCCAGGGGGTTCCTTGGGGGTGCTGCCACATGCCAGGGCCAGCCCCTCCACATGTCCGTTGAGAGTGACAGCAGCTGGTTCAGGGAGCTGCTCAGCCTCGGGCAGGGCTTTGTCAGGGGCCTTTCCCGTGCGGGCAGAGGGTGAGGATGACAAGGCAGCAGACTTCTCGGAGCCCACCTTCTTCTTCCGGCCGACCTTGGTGCTGGCCTGCACAGTGGCCAGCTGAGAGGCAGCAGGGGGCACGATGGGCAAACTGGGTGGCTCCTGGGGGGTCTCCTCCTCTACAGGGGGTGGGCCGCCCCGTGGGGCGCCCTTACTGCTTGCTTTCCCAGACTTTCTGGCCGATGAGCCCCCACCAACAGCAGCAGCTGGGGCCCCTGCGGGCAGTGCCCCCTTCCTGCTGCTGTTCCAGGCTGAGATGATGCTGGTGTGAGAGGCGTAGGGACGGGCAGCCGAGGAGACCAGGGCAGGGAAGTCATCCTCCTGGAAGGTGCCCCTGTCCCTGGTGGCCATGGGGTAGGCTGGGGTTCTGCCTGCAGGGCCTGACCCGGCCACAGGGGGTGCTGAGCACAGGCTGGGGAAGTCCTCATCCTTGAGTTTGGGTGCAGGTGGTAGGCTGTCGGGCAGGAGGAGGGCCTGTCAGTGGCGTCAACGGCTACAGGGCCCACTCAGCCTCTCCCCACCACCCGAAGCGGAGCATTAGCATCCAGACACACACACACACCTTGGAGGCAAGGCCCCCGAGGCTGGCCCTGATGTTTGGGAGGCTTCTTGGCTCACAGGACCGTTCGCCGCAACTTCCTTGGCGCCTGCAACAGAGAAGAAGTCACCTTGGGGTAAGGCAGGCTGCCAGGCGGAGGGACCTGGCTGCGTTCCCTCCCAGGCAGGCTGCAGCCTGGAAGGGAGACCGCGCCTCACGCCCCCCGACAGAGCCCTGACTGCTCACCTGAACCTTCACCCTGGGGCCGTAGAGGGTGCCGGGTGCCACGTGGCTCCGAAGAGCCCCGCCCCACTGCCTCCTCCTTGGCCCGGGCACCCTCCTCACGGGCGTCCTTCCTGTGCTTCTCATCCTGCTGCTGTGCAGCCACCGAGGCCCGGATGGCCGCCGCCACGTCCCGGTCCTCTTCCTCCCTGGGGACAGGGACATGCTAGTCTGGGTGAGGTGGGGGCAGAGAGGAGAGCGTGGAGAACAGGGAAGGGAGGAGGAAGGTTGCCTGGGAGCCAGGCCGGCCTGATGCCAGGAGACCAGTGGCAGAAAGCTTCCCACCTCTTGTACCTCCAGCTCCCGCGGCGGCTCTGCTGGGCTCCACGCGCTCCGACCCGGCCTGCCCGGCCCTGGCGGTTATACCTGTCCACCTCCTCGTAGTCCTCGCCCCCGATGACGCCTGAGGCCAGCACATGCCCATCACGGCCCACACCATGACAGAGGGCTCCTTGGCCCATGCTGCATCCTGACCCTGGGCTCACCCCTCTACTCCGTGTGTCCTGGGGCCCGGGGGAGGGGAGGGGAGGGGAGAGGAGGGAGTGCCCACCCCACCCCTCTGCCTGTTGTGGTGTGGTCTGGGACCCAGGAGAGGCCCTGCCCCTCTTCCCACCCTGGGTCCCGGCCGGCAGCTCACCGTCACCGCGTCGTGGGTGCCGGGGCGTGAAGCTGAACTGCAGGTCGATTTGGCGGTTCTGGCGGGCCTCGGCGCGGCTCCGGCTGTGGCAGGCAGTGCGGTGGGCCTTGAGGTCGATCTCGGTGCGGAAGGCGTGGGTGAATTGCTCCAGGTTGCAGCGGCCCTCCTCGCACAGGAAATGCTTCTCCCGGAAGTGCTCACGCAGGTAAGTGTAGTCACTGTGCAGGGTGTGCGGGCGGGATCAGCGGTGGTGGTGGTGGGGGGGGGGTGGCTGCTGCCCACACCGGGCAGGCCTGGGGTCATGGGTGGCCGGCTCCCACCTATAGTAGTCCTGGGCGCCGTCGGCATCACAGAAGTGGCAGAAGTAGTGGTCGCGGCGCAGGTGCTTAAGCAGCTCGTCGTTATCCAGGTAGCGCTCGTCACAGAACTTGCAGAGAGGGTGGCCGCGATGCGACGTGTCGTCTGGGTCCCCTTGCATACGGTGCCGCGCCAGGTCCCTGCGCGAGTACCACTTGCGCTCGTGCGTGAAGATCTGCGGGGGCGAAAATCGGACGGAAGTTCAGCACAAGGGCACCCCGCTGGCCTCCCAGCCCAGACCGCCTGCCCCAGCCCGCCGACCTTGAGGTGCTTGAGGCAGAGCTTGCAGCAGAAGAGCTCGTGCTGCCTTCGCATGTGCTGCTCCAGGTCCCCGAAGAGGCCAAAGGGCGGCAACGCAGGGCACCGGGGACACTCGTGCTGCAACAGCTGCCTGGGGACACGGGGCCACATCAGGACCAGGGGTCAGGGTCCCACCAGATCACAGCATCTGCCCGGGCCCCTGGAGCCACAGAGCATTTCTGAAGCCATCAGGTCACCTCCTAGTGCCCGAGGCCAGCAGGGTGGCCCCTCACCTGTACAAGGCAAACACCTGGCTGTCAGTGAAGTAGATGTCATGCCGCTTCTCGTGCTGCAGCTGTTGGAGGGAGATGGTGGCGAATGCTGGGAGCTTCTTCCCAAAGACCACCTGAGCAGGAGGGGAGGAGGCCATGAGTGGGAGGGGAGAGGGAGGCTGGCTGTCGCTGTCATATGTGGGTCAGGGTCGGGGTCCTTCGGCCGACCAGACTGGCTTCCTGTTCTCACCCTCCAGCAGCACTTGAGTGCTTTAGGATGGGTGGTGCAATGCACAACCCCACCATCAGGGGGTGCCCAGACCACGGCCCAGGGGGCCATAGCACTCATCTTACCCTGGAGTGGAGCCAACAAATGGGGGGCTGTGTCTGGGGCTCCACTGCAGGGGCCACCCCCAGGGCTCCTGTGCCCAGCTGCTGGCGTGGCCCAGCTCAAACCTGGCAGGCCGCTCCATCAAGGCCCCTGGGGTAAAATGCAGGTCCAGGCCCACAGTGCCAGGGAGGCAGCTGAGGTGGGGGTGGGCACAAAGGTCACATCTGGAGACAAGTGACCACTGCCCACTCCTGTCCCAGATCTCACAAGGCTCAGGGACTGAGGATGGCCCAGGGAAGCGCAAGACCCAGGGCAATGGAGCCCTCAGCGTGGGCCCTCCCAGCTCTGCCCCAGCACCACAGCAATCATCCACGGGAGGCTCACCAGAGATGATTACCAGAACACAGGCCTGAAAGCCACTGGGGGTCTGCATCAGCCATGGTCCACCGTGTGCCCCCCCTCTCCCCCACAAGCCCCATGCTCCCAGCACCGGCCCAGGCAAAGATAAAGTCCAGGTTTTTCCTATATGCCATCCCCCCACCCCATGAAAGGCCAGGGTCGCCCTTCCACACCGTGTCCTGGTGGGTTTCCCTCCAGGCCTTTGGAAAGACAGCTCTAAGGTGGGGCAGGGGCACCAGGAGGGATTGGGGGCACAGCCTTGACAAGGCAGCGGGGAGGGAAAAGGCAGGAGGAAAGGGGAGGAGAAAGCAGAGGGAGCCGGTGGCAAACTTCCCAGCCTGCCCTCCTGTGGCCTCGCAATGCAGGGCAGGCACAAGCACCAGTGCCAAGCCACACCCTGGCCAGCTCATACCCCACCCCCCTGCCACAGAGCTCTGGGGGAGGGGCCGGTGAGAGAGTCAGCAGGGAGGCCAGAGGCTTATTACACAGGTGGGTACCCAGGATGGGACCACTACACTTCCCAGAAGGAAACTACAGGTGTGTGGGACACCTGGCCTTTAGCGAGCTAATCTACATCATGGCACACAAGACTGGGCGGTCCACAGGATCTCAAGAGGCCAGGAAACGCCCTCTGAGTAAGCCACAAACCCCGGCTCCTGACTCTGGGTAGGCTCAGGCTCCACCACCCTCCCCTGGCAGCACCTACTAGGATCCCCTAACCAACCAACCGCTCGTTGGGGCACCACGTCTCAGGCTCCTTTATCGAATGCCTCTTTCTCTCAACAACGGCATGTCTGGGTCACTTTTAGGAAGAAAAAAGGCAGCCTGCCCCAGATGTCACCAAGAGCCATCTCTGATACTGAACCAGGGGGATTTCACAACGCTTGGTGCAAACATCAGCCAGTACACAGCACACCGGTGGGGCTCCGGGCCAGCAGCTGGCACCTGGGGGAGAAGGGGGAGACTTCTTGCTCCATGGCGCCCTCTGACCTTCCCTGGACTTTCAAGTGCAGGCTGGGCTGAACCCTTCTCCCCTCCACTTCTCAACAGAGGCCTGAAGCCAGAAGAGATGGTGAGAAGAAAGAGAAGGAAAAGTTGCCATCTCCACTAGCCCAGCTCGAGAGAAATGACGAGCGTTTCGAGTGACACCTGCTATGTTGGGGCCGTCTGAGGGTCACCCCCAGCTGAGAGAGGAAAGAGCCAGGTTCCAGGTCACCCAGTGGGGCGCGGAGTCAGATGGGCGCTGCCCACAGCCGGACCCCCTGCTCCCAAGAATGGCTACTGAAGTCACTTCCCCCAGCCCTGACCCTTCCGCTCCAACGGAGAGTCCTAAGGAAGAGCGAGTCACCAAGTTCCTGATTGGACCATGCCTCTTCCTGTGGCCGGGCGAATGTCCAGGGCAGAGGGGCTAGTCACCGGACTCCCTCCTAGACCCGGCTCGGCTACCTCCCGCCCCGCGGGCCCAGCGTCAGGACTCCGCCCCAGGTGGCCCCATCAGGCCCGCGACCGGCCACCAGGAAGCCCGAGTCCCCTTCCGGCCGCCCAGGCCACGCGGCCCGCCGCACCTGGTGCAACTCCTCGCGGCACACGGCGCAGTAGCGCTGCTCGCAAAGCACCCGCATCTTGGTGGAGCAGCGGTAGCACACTGGGTGGTCGCAGCGGCCCAGCGCCGTGGCCTCCAGGTCCCCGCAGCACAGCACGCAGCTCCCACCGCCCCGCTCGGCCGCCGCCGCCTCCGGGGCCGTGCGCCGCCCGACGGCACCAGCCGCCGCCGCCATGACCGGGCTCCGGCCCGCTCCGGGCCGGCGCGGCGCGACCTGACTTCCGGCGAATCCGCCCCTTCCTGGTCGACGTCAGCGTCCCGCCCAGCAACGGCCCCGCCCGGCGGAAGTACACGCCTTCATTTCCGCCGCCGCCGCCGAGAGCCGGGCTAGAGTGGGTACGCCGAGTACGCCGTGCTCTAGCTCCGCCCGGCTGCTCGGAGGTCCACGCTCTCGCACTCTGGGCTTTATGCCGTTGAAACACGGCGCTCGGTTAAATTAGAGTTTTACTTAAACAAGCAATCAGTAGATGTCCTAATTCTGTAAAGTTTGATGTATCTCTTGAAGCATTTGACGGGAAATCACAAAACGGCGGCGTGGCAAAAATGACGACGGGAAAAAAGATGGCTCTCAATGGGAAAGTCAATGTAATTACAATATACTATTTGGCTCAACAGAGCATGACAAGCCCAAAGGCATTATGATGTGAGCTCTGCCTCCCAAGTCAACCAAAAATTTTGAAAAACAATCGAATGAGGGGATGGAGGTAGAAGTGGGGTGCCATTGAAGTATGAGAGAGCCAAAATTAATACGAAGCCATTTCATACTACCTAAAATGGATAAATCAGGAAATAAAACCCATTGCGTTGAGGCGATTCCCTACAGGGCAGAGTAGAGCTGCCCTGGTGTGTTCTCAAGGCTGTAACCTTTTTTTTTTTTAATCATTTCATTGGGGGGCTCATACAATTCGTATCACAATCCATACGCACATCCATTGTGTCAAGCACATTTGTACTTTTATTTCCATCATCATTCTCAAAGGCTGTAACATAGGCGCAAAGAACCCATCTTTGTTTGAGTGGTTGCAAAGGTTAGCCAACCCACTAAGCCACCAGGGTTCCTTCCACAAAGATTACAGCCTTGAAAACTAGGAATTGGCAGTTCTGCTCTGTCCTACAAGGGTGCTAAGAGGACAGAGTTGACTTGGTAACAGGTTTAGATTTAGATTTTGTGATTATATCAGGCCCCCACAGACAATCCTGGTTAATGTCTTTATCTGAACATCAGCTGATTAAAAACCCAAACACCCATATATCTTTCTCCTTCAGAACAGCTGATAGGTTCACATGGCTGACCAACCAGCCCAGTGATTAAGCACTGGGCTTCCAGAGCTTGGTGGTTAACAGATTCTCACTCACTGCCATTGACTTGATGTCGACTCATAGTGACCTTCCAGGCAGAGAGAACTCGCCCTTTCAATTTCTGAGACTGAAACTCTTTTTTTTTAGACTGTAACCCTGCACAGGAGTAGAAAGCCCAGTCTTTCTCCCAAGGAGCTGCTGGTGGTTTTGAACTGCCAACCACGAGGACTGCAGCATAATGAGTAACCACTGCACCACCAGAGTTCTGGTGGTGAGGAATCTTATTCTGCCTACCTTAATTGGGTAGCAGAGGTTAAGGGTGGTGCACAGAATGGACCAAAATGCCAATAGTGCCAACCTTGAGAAACTCTGACTTAAGGTGATGGATTAGTTATGGTAGGGGGGTTGTGGCTAAGAGGAAGCAAGAAGCTTTGTTACTGGGGTCTCTCGGGTTGGAGCTGGAAAGGACATAGAGTCCCTTCTCCTCTGTATAACTCCCAGCCCTTTAACAGCTCCATGCTCTACTCTCTCCATTGAGCCTTTGGGCCTCTTCCTCAACTCCACCTCCTGCAGCTCCCCCACCTCCATGCACAAGCACATCTGTCATGTGCAGTGACAACCTCTGTCCCAAATGGGACCTTGTTGGTTCGCCCCCACAAAACACTGCTGTCCAGTTGCCTCCGCTCGTAGTGACCCCCTACCAAAACCAAACTCATTGCCATCAAGTTAATGCTGGCTCATGATGACCCTATAGGACAGGGTAGAACTGTCCTGTGAATTTCTGAGACCATAATTCTTTTTTTCTTCTTCTTTATTTTAGACTGTAACTCTCTGTGTCTGTTTCTCTCTCTCTCTCTCTCTCTCTCAACTGTAACTCTTTATAGGAATTAAAAGTACTGTCTTTCTTCCTCATAGTGGCTGGTGGTAGCTGCTGATCATGCAGAGTGCCTCTGCCAGACCTGCTCCATAGGGTTTCCAAGGCTGCCTGTGCTCTTCATAGGGCTGCCAGCCTCCTCTTTCTCCCGAGGCAAAGTGGGTGGGTGCCAAGCACCGGCATTTCAGAGAGCAGGTGAGTGCTTTAACTACTGACCACCAGGACTCCTTTATAAGCACCTATGAGAGGGCATGGCAGCATTGAGACGCTGGAGGACAACAGCACAGAGGTTCTGTGGTTCTACAGGAATTTGGTTTTGTCGTTCGCTCTGTAAGGTGTCTGGCAGAATTATCCTGGCTGCTACTTGGAGCTCGATTACAGTTCACGGACGACCACAATGAAAACCACCAGCCTCAGTGAGAGAAAGATGTCTCATTCTATAAAGATCCATGGCCTCAGAAATCCTATGTGGGATTGCTGAAGAGTTTGGTTTGGCTTGGGTTTTGTCCTGAAGAGTGGTGGACCCTCCCTGGCTGTGACTGCAGTCTCCAGGGCTCCTGCAACACCCTCCCTAAGCCCCCTTGGCTCCAGGGAGCAGCAGCGCCAGGGAACAGGCACTGTCCACCTGGCTCTCAGCCCATCATGCTGCACCGCCCACCCACTACACTCCGGAGTAGGGGGAGAGGCTCTTGAAGTCAAGGAGCCCCGGGGGATCAAAAAGGGGTGATCTTTCTGACGTCCCTTCATCCCTGGGGTCCTCCAGGCCTCTCCAGGAGCGGGGGTGGCTTTCCCCTTCCACTGTACCGCCCCTATGACTCAACCTTTCCACGGAAGCGTTTTCACTGACATGCTGGGGGAGGAGCTGGTCAGCCTCCACCAGCAAGAATGACAATAATAAGAACCATCTGCTGGGCGCCTACTGTGTGTGCCACTGCAATTGCTCCTCAGCCTCCCCAGTTGCCCATCTGAGTAGGAGGGAGGCCCCAGAACCCCCAGGACCCCTACTGCCTCAGGGCCAGGCGCCCTCCCCAGGCACCCCAACCCAAGCAGGAAGGGAAGTCCAGAACCCTCAGGACCCCTCCTGCATCAGGGCCAGGCACCCACTCCTGCCCACCCCCAGCTGCCACCCCACCCCATGGCCCCCTTGGACATGACAGAGGACAAACCCAGGCTGTGTCCCATCCTTATGCCCTACAAACCACCCCTCTCTTAATAAATAGACAAGCAGAGGGGCGTGGAGTCTGGGGGAAATTGCAGCTGCAACCCGAAACCTGTGCTCTTGGGTCCGGAGCTAGGCTGGCTCTCCCTCTTCCCCAGCCAACAGGTGGGCTTGGTAAGTCCATTCTCTGAGGGTCGCAGCGTTCACACAGATGAAGTGGGAGCAGTGCTAATCTCACCTCTTGTAGTAGTTTGGAGATCGCAATAATATATTTCCTGATGACTTGGGACAAAAATCGCTGGTGCCTGTGACTGAGAAGTTACCCCCATAAGTGGTGTCATTGCCGGGGGTAGGGTGTGAGGATCTGATGATTTTGAGGGCTGGATCTACCCTGGGCTGGGACACTGGAAGAACTGAGGCTTTTGGGAGCGGGTGGTTCTCTTTAGGGAAGCATGGGGAGGGAAATGAGCTGGGGGGATTACTCAGAAGAGGGCATTTTAAATAGGGTCTTGAAGGATGAATAGGAGTTTGCCAGAATGACAAGGAAGAGGATGTTCTAGGTACAAGAGAGGGAAATGGGTTGCATCATGAGTTGTTAGGTAAGGGGAAGGAGAAGAGAGGGGAGGGGAGGGGAGAGAAGAGAAGAGATAAGACCTGCCTGGAGTAGTCTTAGGGAAGGGGTCAAGGTCAGAGAGAAAGCTGGAGATGGTCAGCATTGGGAGTGTGAGGAGGTGCTGGTCTTTATCCGGGTCCTCTTAGGGAACCACACCAGCCATCTCAGCCAGGGCATGGTGTGATTCAGGCTGCTAGTGTCTACCATCCTTCTGGCTGCAGCTGGGAAGGGGGCTAGTGGAGGGAAGCCAGGGGTGAGAGAGGGCAGGAAGGAGGGCGGAGCAAGGACTAGCCACCTAGGCGCAGTCTTTAGGGGAGGAGACAGAGGTCTTGGATGGTACCCAGGGTCCCGCTGAGCCTCTCACCTGCTTTACCTCTTAGAGGTGGGCCAGCAGTCCCCCATCTATTGCCACAGAACCTTCCCTTGGTCCCACCTCACCCCTCCTGGGGGCAGAGAGGGACAGCCCCCAGCTGCATCGCCTAGAACACTCTGAGATACTGCCCCGCAGCAACAGGGGCTCCCTCTTCCCCCGCTATCCCGGTCCCCTCCTTGGGGAACAAAGCAGGTACCACGGGGGCGGGGCGGGGCGGGGCCCCGAGCCCATATAGGCAGGGTGCGCTGCCTGCCTCTAGCGCCCTGTGCTCCCACCCTCCCGGGAACGGATTCTTCCCGCCCCAGACCCCACGAAATCTGTTTCAAGGCCCCTCGCCGGGCGGCCACGGACGTGCGCACCCGAGCGCGGGCTCCAGGCGGGATGGGCCGGGTGCGGAGGCCCCTCCGGGGTGGTCCGCTG